TTCAGTTTGTTTTAGATTCTATTTTCTTTGTTTTTGATATTAATGTTATACAGTGTCTAGAAATAATCGCCAAATATTTCATGGGACGGTAGAGCGGACTAAACTGAGTCGAAAAGTCCTCTACCATTTTGTAAATTTTGTGAATTTTTCCCCAATAGTTAACGAGATATTAATCCCTAAAGATACCCGAATATAGGCACGCCCGCCCAGCCTACTACTGCGAAGTGTATAGACCTACCGATCGTTTGGCGCGTGAGGAGCGGAGATAGCCTGGCAAATGCGCCGTCCGAGCTATGGAGGCTTGCGGCGGTGTGCGCGGCACGGGACGCTTGCCAACTAATCCCCAACTCCTCGCGATGGCGAATATTTGGCACTTCAGAAATTAATATTTTGAAAATCGGGAAATATCGAAATCTTTTTGAGAACTCAATTAATTTGCTCTAAAGCGTGCATATATAGTGTGTACATACAGAAAAATGTTACATATGTATAAATACGTAATAAGATGATATGTTTTAAATAAATAATAAGTGTATTTTAAAAGGATATTTGATAATTTTATCGATAACATTCGTGAATAAGATAGAGCGGACTAAATTGAATCGAAAAGTCCTTTACCATTTTATAATTTTCGCAATAGTTAATAAGATATTAATTATTAAAATATTGGTTTTCAAAAATTTTTTACTCAAGTACTATCAACTTTACAAAAATAGAGCAAAAGACAAATATTGTTCATTTTCTTTTCATAAAGCTCTAGGAATTTTTTCAGAATTTTTTGTACTATATTTTCTCATTTTGGTAAAAATAGTTGTTAATAAAAAATGCAGTACTGAAAAGTTGATTTATTAAAAAATTCTAAAAAGATTTCTAGAGCTTTATGAGAACAAAATAAACAATTTTTATCTCTTGCTGTTTTTTTGTAAAGTTGCGCACGGCCCGCGCGCCAAATCGGTACACACAGAAAAATATCATTCTATTGCCAAGAAAAGCAATTATTCATTTTATTTTTCTTCTTTTAAGTAACAGTTACTTTCAATAAAGAATATTTTCTCGCTAGTAGTCTTAAAATATATTCATCCCAAGTTTTAAAAATATTCAATATCATGTACACTCAAAATAAGAATTTATTCTCTTTTGAAGTATATTATAAAATTTTATCGAAGAAAAGTCAGATTTGATTAACTTGAATATTTAATAATATATTGAGGAAAGAAAATTTATTTGGTCAAAAAAATTTGGTATTTCTTTCAATTTTATACAACAGATTTAGGAAAAGCAAAATTAGTTTAGAAATAAGAAATTTTTTTCTTGTTTGAAGTAATTCATATTTTTAATTTAAATAAATATTTATTTTGGAATCAAATTGTGCATACAATTGTGACGCAACATGATTTTTATATTGTTCCATAATGGTGTTTTTTCATATAATATTTATCTTAATTATAATATTTTGAATTAATAAATATCATATTATTTCGTTTCCATGTAACGTTCATAATAATATGAAATTGTCGTAAAATTAAGAATGGTTACAGTAGGAAATATACCGTTGGGAATAACTCGATCACAAGCATAGCAATTAGCATAGCTCAGCATAAATATATTAGACTATTCTAGGGATCGTAGATTCAAATCTTGTCGGCGATGCGATGCGTTTTTCAATAATTACTTGTAGTTAATAAGACAGAATATGAGTATGCGGAAACAGTAAAAATATAAATTAAACTGGAAAAATAAAAAGCAATAATAACAAAAAAATTACTTTTTTTTAAGATATAATTGTAAGTTTTTTATTACAAAATATAAATATAATATTTGATTTAAAGGAAGAATTCTTCTTAAGTAAATCGAATTTTTGATTTAATTTAATATTCTTGATTGAGAAGTATTAAATTTTCTAAAATTCAGAATATATTTTGAATAAACTGGATGCTTGTGATGAACTTATAATTGATTTGTGAATATATGAACTTTTGAAATACTTGGAAGAAGTCATTATTACTTGCGTACAGTATATATTTTTCTGCGTGTAGACGTATGGACCATTCCACACAAACTCGTATAGCCGCATAACCATATGCATAAAGAAAATTATCCAATCACATTTCTGTCATAAAAACAAACGTAAAATACGATTTGATACCCAGCACTTTTGAATATAACCACTTTTGAATACCTAGCAAACGAAAATGGATTGGAAATTTTCAGTCCATCCGAATCTGTATTTTAAATCTATAAAAATGAATTAGATTCTATATAAAAAATGTTTATACACGTAAAAGTTTAAATAAAGCAGTAATTACATGAAATTCTATAGTTATTATTTTAAAACTTTTATACAAAAAATATACGCTAACTGTATAATAACTAAAGAAAACGTATTAATATAAAATATACGTAAAAGCGATTAATTTATTAAATTATTAAAAATAAGGAATTTACATATGTAATATTTATTGTACATATTTACGTAGTTCTTTTTATGTTTCTTTTAACTATTAAATGAAGTAGAATTCATGTTATATTTTTACAACTTTTTTTTAACTCAGTTAAATTAAAATGAAAAATTTCTTATTCATAATTTTGAATAAAATGGCATTCATGATATATTTTTAAATGAAATGGATTTTCTACTTACAATTCTGAATAGTATTCATGGCTTATTTTAAGAAAATAGGCCATTAAAAGAAAAACTTTTTTTTATTCAATTGGATTAAAAAATTATATTTTCTATTCAGAATTTTTTAAATTTAACAGTATTCATCACAGAAATGGCTGATATTATATATATATTATTTTCGTTTGCTGGGGCAAACGAGAATGGATTAAAATGGATTAAAATGAATAGGAAAAAATTTCAATCCATTTTACTTTTCTTCTCAGTTTAGTCCATTCTACCTCTATGCGAAAGATTTATAATTACTTTTCAAATATCCTGTATATTTCCATCACAAGGCTGCGTTCAGCGCACTCGACAGTTGAGTGAGTGCTCGCTGTTATTGATATTGGGTCATCTAAAAAGTACTCCGCGGTACTTTGATATCACTAGATATATGACCATCAACACACATCTAGTGACAAAAAACCGCGGATACTTTTTAGATGACTCAATATATTCTTTTAGATCAATTAGCATTTTAGATCAGCGCATTAGATTGGCGACACTGGGACTCGATTCTGAAACAAGGTGAAAATTACAAAAGAGAACGAATTTACTAGAATACTGATAATTTCATTGGTCAACACCTAGTAAATTTGTTCACTTGTAATTTTCATCTCGTTTCAAGATACAGAATTGATCCCCTGGTCCTGAATAGAGTCCTGTATTTTTAGTGTTGAATAATCTAGTCATCCTGCAGTGCTCAATGGTGCTTTCTAGAGAGCTTCAAAGAAAGAGAATGACAAATTGCATGACGTAATGTCCGTGTCCAATCAGGACGTGACTCGTTTTCTCCAATCTCTTCCAAGCTTATAGAGCTTTAAATGCCGGCGTCCAATCAGAGGAAACGGGTCACGTAATACAGTTCTCCCTTTGAGGCGCTCTAGTGCTCTCTGTTGTCTTTGTACATTCTCAACGTTCGCGTTAGTCGTGAAATTCGTTCTCGATAGAAGTGTTCTGTGAGAAGCGTCGTTGCGTTCAAAGGCAGAAATAATCAGGTGAGTTGTTTTGCATGCGATTGCGACCGTCGGTTAAATTACACACGCGTTTTTCGTACGTTTTCGCTAGAAATCACAAGAAACTGCGAGGATTATCGCTTCGCGATGAGAAAATGCCAAAGCACGAAGAAGTTTTCACGACGCGCGTGACTCGAGGGGGGCCGCCTTCGCCTTGCATGCCTCGGGAAAAGTGCACTTGGCCTGCCGCCATCTTGTTTATTATGCGTGCTTACTTTTGGAGGGAAATCATCGTCGCGGTACATCAGTAAACGCGCCGTGGTGTTTTTCTCGAATTCGCACAAATCACGCCTGTTTCAGCCTGTCAAATTTCACATTCCTCGATCTCGAGAGAGAATCCGGCGATCGGTCTGGTTTTCCTTTTTTTTTTTCTCGTTTTCGTTCCGCCCTTTCTCTTCCTCCCTCTGTCTCCCCCCTCCCCTACTGCATAGTGTATGCGTGCATTGGATGCGCGGCGGGGGTCTGATTATAGCCTGCTTCCCCTCCCCCACCCCTCCTTCTATCAAGCAAGCGTCTTAACGTATGTATCTTGATGCTTTGTCCTACTAGGGAGGCCTGTGATACACAGAAGAAAACAACGAAAGCTCGCTCATCGTTATGGCACGTACCAAGCAGACGGCTCGTAAATCAACGGGTGGAAAGGCACCCAGGAAGCAACTTGCCACCAAAGCGGCACGTAAAAGCGCGCCGTCCACTGGAGGCGTCAAGAAGCCTCATCGTTACAGGTATGTGCTGTGTATCTACACATACACATGTATACATACATACATATACATATATATATATGCACACACAAGTATAAACTTACATTGAACAAATTGTTTGTTTCGAAAATATTGAAGATGTTTGTCAATTTTATAGTACTGAATAATTCTTTATAGCAATTTTGAAAGTTCTAATGTAGAAATTATGGAGAAAATATTAATTGATATTTAATGTTAAATATAATTGTTTTAGTAAAATTTGATATCTTTGAGAGAAGGAAATTTAAACATTTTCTTTTTTTTAAAGAATGTTTCTATTTACTTGGAACCTTCTTTTCAGGCCCGGTACTGTAGCTCTGAGAGAAATCCGAAGATATCAAAAGTCCACGGAGTTGCTCATCAGGAAATTGCCGTTCCAGCGTCTGGTTCGTGAAATCGCGCAGGATTTCAAAACCGATCTGCGTTTTCAGAGCGCCGCTATAGGTGCCCTTCAGGAAGCGTCGGAAGCTTACCTGGTCGGCCTGTTCGAAGACACGAATTTGTGCGCCATTCACGCCAAACGTGTCACGATCATGCCAAAAGATATACAACTGGCACGGCGAATTCGCGGTGAACGCGCTTAAATCGTTCACAAACAATACACAGAGCGTTCTCATTTTATTATTATTTGGATACTGTATGTTTCTAAACAATCTCAAATTTTTCTTGACTCTCTTCCGTGTATATTTATCATAGTTAACACACTGCCAACTGCTGTAATAGATACCTGAAAAAGACGAAAGAAACAAGTGAGTCTTGATTAGACTTTTAAACTCAATTAGATGATTCATGATTCATACAATGATTAAGAAAAATGGGTTGAAAAACTGAAATTGAAAAAACTGATGGAATTTAGTTTTAATATAAAGTCGAAATTATAGGCAACATTAGTTTTATTTTATATCTGGATTAATAGAAATAAAGCACGCAGCATATTATATTGTGTAGATTTCATGGTTTTTTTTTTGTAGAACGCCAGGTATTAGCGCTTGATTTTACAACAATAGTTGTATTGCTTTATGGGAGCAAATCTACATCGTCCTTTCAACACTTCTCTTACGTACAAATTTACAACACATTTACTTATACTGGTATGCACTTTTCGTATAAAGGGATATGTCTACATGTATTGAAGAGTGGTAGAACAGATAGTTGATTAGTTGTTTATTGGTAATAATACTACACACTCAACGCGCATATAATTTGATTTGCATTAGTCTTCACTCTTTAGAATTAAAAAATTTTACTTATAGTAGATATATCGCGCATATTACGTATATAAATATATTGTAAGCTTAGAAACTAAGTAAGTGTTTCATGTATCCCTAAGGAATGCATTAATAAATATCTATAATTAAAAACATTATCGAAGACACGGCAAGAGGGCTGCAGTTGGTACTGCGCGAAATTGTTTTTCTTTACAAGGATGTATGAATTATTTACGTACACATTATTTACTGTGAATATTGAAAATCTGTAGCTTACACATGCTAGAGACTTTCAGTACTTGCGATGAATACAACTGTAGGTGACATATTTTTTTTTTGTTTCCGGCTGTCACTATTGACACTAATAGAGTGCGCGCGCATCTTAAAAGCTTTTCTCTCCAAATGTAATCCTCTTGTCGAGTTCGTAATTATAAGTTGTAATTATCGTAACGATTATAGTACTAATCAAATGATGTAATAATATAACAAAATACATTTTCTAAAGGATGTAACAAACTCTTGTATCTCTTGTATCGTCTTTATAATGTATGCTGAGTGGCGCAGGAAATGTACTATTTTATTATCCAATTTATAGGCTTTGGAGAGAATTTTGTTTGTTTTGTGTGCCAATTTTATTTAAAAAATTGATATATCGGATCAATGAAATGGTATAATATTCGTGCGGCATTTCATGTATGTACACGTATTTGTGTATATGTATGTATTGCGTATTTCATTTCGTGATACATGTTAATATAAATACATACCTGTAGGTGTGTGTGTGTGTGTGTGTGTGTGTGTGTGTGTGTGTGTGTGTGTGTGTGCAAGAAAAAACGCTCGCGCGCGCCTGTGCAAGCATTTGCACGTTGCACGCCGCTATCGATTCGCGCGAACCGAGCGACGCGACGATGCGTGTGACGCGCGACGTTTCATATGCATCGCATCCCACACGATGCGCAAGAATCTGACACGAGCGTGCTTACTATATCTTTCTTTCTCTCTCTCTCTCTCTCTCTCTCTCTCTCTCTCTCGCTCGGTTATAGACCGGACATCGATCTCACGATTTCGCGGGTCGATCCGCGGCGCGAAATAATCTTGTTCTACGTCACGATCGGCAGCCTTGCTATACATATTACCTATTATCGCGCGATTAACAGCGGCCTTTCTCCCGTGTAAAATGATAGCGTCGCGTCGTCGCTTTTCGATAACACTCGACGCATCCTCGACCGCGTACCTGTCAGTCTGGCGCCGTCTCGCGCCTTTTTCCATTCCCTCTT